AAGCGTTTTATCGCCAGACTGTTAAATATTTGGAATGATATGATGACCATGAGGTTCGGGTGCCTGATGTAAGTTTTGCGTATTCAGATACATTAAATGAACAGGCAAAGCAATCCTTTTGTTTGTACTTGAACCACCAGCACTCCTCATTTCATCCTTTGATGTTTTTGATAAGGTTCAATAAGTGTTTTAATTTCTTTTATCTTTCTTTTATCTCAATTAAAATTATTTGCTGCGCGGTGACATCTAAAAGTAGTCGATCCATCAAGATTGGTAGACTTTTTTTTTTAATATCTTATCGTCTACGGTTCCTTTCCAGCCGTTTTTAATTTAATTTAGCTTTGTCTGTTTTTCTGAGTATTAGGCTGTGGATGGTCTCGGCTGACGTCATAGTCATTAGTTTTAAAAGCACAAACAGAATGTCTCTGTTCACACGCTTATGTGGCTCTGTGTAGAGACACTGCACAGTTTAGGAAGAACATCAAACCGTCTTTATTTATTATCTACAAACACAATAATATCTTGGGAAGCTTATAATTTTTTCTGTGTCATATTGTGGCTGTTACAGAGAAATACTGTGTGCTTTGTAGTTGTTTTGTTCTGAATTATATATTCCCAATATATGCATGTCCTCAGATGCCTACAGAATAAGAAATGTTATGCTTTGTTACTACGGAAACTACAAATGTAAGCCATAAACACTAGTACTGTTCAACCCCAGTCCCTTTTTCACAGGGGAGTCTACGCTGTTGGTTAAGAACTTTAACAGCAGATCATAAACAAGAGATCCTGCTCTGACAATTACAATATTTTTCAGACCAGTGTTAAGTCTGTCAATACTGTCTAAAAATGAACAAACTTTTCTAGTTAGAATTGCAAAAACATTCTTTTAAAGTAGTTTGAACTTTTTCTAAGTAGCTTCAAAATGTCAAACACAGTTTCTCCCTGTGAAGGCTTTGCTGTAGTTCAACATCTCTTAAGGTGAAGTAATTGGTAGCTTTCAAAGCCATGCTTTCTAAGAAGCTTTCCCATAACTGCTTGTAAGATGTCTGTAAGATTTCCACTGAAAAAGTATATTATTAGCTTGACTCAGGCAGTATGCAACTGTGCTATAATTTCCCCCACCTGCAGAACATGTCAGCAATGATTTCAGAACAATTTTAATATGTGCAGATTGAAAGCAGCACAGCACTAACGACCAATTTAAAAGTTTAACGGACTATGGTGCGTCACACAGAGGGACCATTAAGCCTTGTTTCATATCAAACGGGGTAACTTAGTAGCCCTCACCACATCGAGCAGCAGAGATCACTTCTTCCGACTCTGCAGTTCAGGGCAGGACTTCAAAGCCAGTATGCAGCAGGGTCGGCTCTAGAACAAATCGAATGGGGGGGAAATCATTTACAAAGGGGGGGCACACACTGCCGTCAACAACCAACACACAAACACCAACGCAACTTCAAAAAACATGCTGTAAAGTCTATTGTCTTTCACACACATTGCAGAGTGTAGTGCTATTGTATAGCGCACCTATGACCTGTGCATACATGCACGGTTGTGGCACGACCACCAAAACAGAAACATATAAGGACATAGGCCACCATATAAAAAGGGTGCAAATGTATTTAGTATCCTATCCATGTGAACATGTTTTAGGTGGGTGTGGACCTAACCTCCTCTAGGAGGGTCTGGGGGCATGCTCCCCCGGGAAGATTATTTTTAAAATATTGAAGTTAAATGCATCAATCTGGTGCACTTTGAGAGCAACATGAAGAGATCTATGGATACATCTCTCAACATCCATATGAAACAGAACTGTACACAGATTTACTTTTTCTTTATGGATATTTTACTAATCACTCCCCTTGTAAACTGTATTCTTGTGTTACTGTCCTATAGTATTTCATACCCGTTTTTAATTTATTCTCTTATTCTTTAATAACTATAATGATCATATAAAGGTATTCCTCGCAAATACTTGTTTACATAAATGGTGACCAACCCGTTTGAGACCCACTGAGATAACTTACACTAAAGTGAACTATCTAAACACTGAGAGAGTCCTTTACCTCACTGAGCTGAGGTTATACGATCCTCTCAACAAACCTGGAATTATGCATTTGGGACGTTTTTTTGCTTTTCCTTGTTGTACCGAACCCGTACCGAACCGTGACCCCTCCTCCACTTTGGTGTAGAAACAGCTCTTTATATCCGTTAGCATAGCGAGCTAACCAGATGCTAACATCAACATTCCACGTTACCGCTCGCGCACTCACAAAATGCGCTCGTGCCACACACACACAGAGCCGAGCTTGAATGAAACACAGAGACCCAGAAGTAGGATACTTGTACTGTACTGTATATGTATATCATATTATTTTCGATGGCTTTACTGTATAATCACTAATCAGTGTAACAGATGAACAGATCGCCACCGGGCTTTCATCTAAACACACAGCCACGTAATGATAACAAAACAAAGGTCGGGGGTCATTGGTCAAGCAACACACCAATCAGAGAGCAGCAGTGAGCACAGCTCAGGCTGTGTTTTATATTTGTATTCTTTATTTCTGACGTATTTCACACAAAAAACCTTTAGTGGAAACGTTTTCACTTATATGATTTTTTTTTTAAAACGGCAAAGTGGCTAGGCTTGCCCACCCTGCGTTGGGGGGGCACAGTGACTCATTTGGGGGGGCATGGCCCGCGAATGACCCCCCATGACGCCGACCCTGGTATGCAGCCCAAAGTTGAGCAGCGGTGCTAGAAAATTGTTCAAAGGAATGCAGGCTGTTTACTATTGACTTTGCAACAATTACCCAAGCATATGTGTGTGTAATTAGATAAGGCAGCCAGTTGTTCTATAATGCGGCAAATCAAATTACTAAAGATGCCACATTGATTTCTTTGTGTTCCTTAAATTATTCATCTTCACTTGCACTGAACCAGACAGCCAGCCACCAAAGAGCTTTTCTAACTCCTTTGCTCCCTGCGTACACTGATTGTTTTTTGAGATCTATCCAAGTACCTTTTCAATATTTTTTCCGTAACAATTCAGCAAATTGACCCTCCTGAAAAGAGAGCATTGCAGTGTTATGGAAATGTCCAGAATTCCCATTAACTGAGATTGCTCCGACCTCTATCATTGTTGTTGTGTATATGTGCGTGAGAAAGAGAGGGGGAACAAATGCTGCTTACATGCACTTGTGTGTGTGTGTGTTTGTGTGACAGCATGCACAACAGCATGCACAACACTGCTGTGAAAATTCATGAAGCACACCAGCTGCAGACAGCCACGTCTCAGGCTGCTCCATTGACGTCCTGTTCTCTGGCATGTTGCACACAGGCAGATCAATATGACCTTACCTCCACCACCCACTCCTTTGAAACTTAATTACTGATATTCAGCTACAAAGTCATCATAGTCTGGCTGTCAATATTCATTGGGGATCATTACGGGCCTAATAAAAGAGGTTATTTACGGGCTGCTCTGCTGACACCGGCCCAGGTCCAGATATTCAGCTGCAGCCATCTCAATTTGCTTTACCTCTCTCCCTCCCTCTCTTGCTTGCTGTCTCTCCCTCTCTCTCACCTCTCCCAGAAGCACTGACCTGAAAAAGAAAAATTGACAGCAGGGAAACGAACGGGAGAGAGGATGGAGGGTGAATTCTTCTGGCATGGCTTTTAATTCTCTTGGCCGTGTTTGGAGGTTTTTCAGCCTGTGCCAAAAAACCACTATAGGCGCACATATCCCAAAATCCCAAACTAAATTTGAACTTTGCTTGCCAGTGACATGGCAATCATAGCCACAAAGGGATACTTCATGACATTTACAGAAGTTGTTGCCAAGATCCTTGCGACAACACAGTTTTCAAATTCCTCAACTCTAACATTAATTATTGTGTTTTCAAGGCCGCATTCTTCAGGTTCTTTCACTGAAAGTCATTTCCTCAGCACCAAAAGTGAAAGCAATGTGCTGCAGCACTCCCACTCCTGACATTGTATGGTGACAAAGCTACATGGAGTTTAGTGTGATTGTGGGAGATTGCTATATGTTCATTATTTCAATAAATCAAAAGCTTCACTGTAATTGAAATGGTTGGCTGTCCGGTGTTGAGGCAAGGTGTCACAAAACTGAAAAGTGGAACACTGAACCCTGTAGATGAAAAAAGGTACTGCAACCAGAAAAATCTCTCAGTCTCACATTCTCACACATCCTTTTTGTCTCTCACTACAACTCTCACTCACGCACTCACATCCTTGTTTCCAAGCACACACGCACCTCTTCAGTTTCCTCTTAGTGTCTTGATTAATACGGTCCACTCTACGTCAGTACGCTGGATGCCGATGCACACTGTGCTGCCTTCCCTTAGCAATTAGCAGAGGGGCTCCACCAGCGTTGGATTATCAACAACAAGATGCCTCCTGATGCGAGCCCTAAAGCCTGCTGACTTATTCATATGTGTTTACTTTAAAAGCCTCTGCCTTGGTTTTTTGTTGGTGGGATGCATCAGAAATGAATTAAGAACAGCATGTGGGGTTCGAGGATGGGGGGGGGGCAGCCACATTATACCCAAATACAGGTGGCCGGAAGAGAACAGGGGCCGCCAGAACTTGTGGTACAATTAGAAATGTAATGGTGTATTGGGAAATTAAATTTGATTGAAGATAAATCAGTATCTGTTGATGCAGCTACAGGAACTTTACCACAACATACACACCTTGATCAATTATTAACTGCAGCCTGTTAGTTGCTGTTGTGGGTTTGTGTTTTCTCTGTTGTGGGTTACACCGAACAAGATCAATAAATTCTCCAGTGGTGGCTGAACCCCTTTCACACCAAAATATAGGCTGTGACTGGTACTGTTGTGTTGTCTTTTCAGTATTGTGATGTGCCTCCTACTCCCACATGAATGTACGTGCATGAATAATTAAATGTTCATGTCAGAATTTCATTTAACACTCATCACTTATCATGTATGTCTCTTCTCTTTCCGTAGGGATCCTAACAAGCCGGTTCCTCAAGACACCAAGTTCATCCACACCAAGGCCAACCGCTTTGAAGAGGTGGCGTGGTCCAAGTACAACCCCCAGGACCAGCTGTATCTGCATATCGGCCTGAAGCCACGTGTGCGGGACCACTACCGCGCCACTAAAGTGGCCTTCTGGAAACACCTAGTGCCCCACCTGTACAACCTGCACGACATGTTCCACTACACCTCCACCACCACCAAAGTGCCGCCACCAGATACCACGCAGAACTCCTTGTCCACCAGGAGGCCCAACGGACAACACAACACCAAGCGGCCCCCCATGTCCCCGGCCTACAACAATGAGGACAAAGACTCTTGGAACGACGACGAGGAGACAGGGCCGCTGGTGGTGGAGAACCCTCGGGATTACTCCACAGAGCTCAGTGTCACTATCGCTGTGGGAGCGTCGCTGCTGTTCCTCAATGTGCTGGCTTTCGCGGCCCTCTACTACCGCAAGGACAAGCGCCGGCAGGACTCCGGCCACGGGCAGCCCAGCCCACAACGCCAGACCACCTCCAACGACATTGGACACCATGCGCCCGAGGAGGAGATCATGTCGCTGCAGATGAACCAGACGCACCATGAGTGTGAGGCGGGGAACAGCAACGAGGGGGCATTGCGCTTGGCCTCGCTGCCCGACTACACGCTCACTCTGCGGCGCTCTCCGGACGACATTCCCCTCATGACCCCCAACACCATCACCATGATCCCCAATTCCCTGGTGGGGATGCCCAACCTGCACCCCTACAACACCTTCACAACCGGCTTCAACTCCACCGGCCTGCCGCACTCCCACTCAACCACCCGCGTATAGCTTTAAGGAGGCCTGGGGCAGCCGGCGCAGGCGGGGGGGGAGGAGGCAGTGGTGGTTGAGGAGGAGCAGGAGGATGAACGATTGGAGGAGAGGATTGTGTTTTATAAATATCACAGGGAGGGGGGAGGGGAAGGGCATGAGTCGGATTAAAACGTGAAGAGATTTAACTAGACTTTTACTACGAGGAGAGTTGCTGTGAGCTCTCTATGGATGTCAAGTTGTGCAGAGCTGCCAAAATCAAACTGCTTTCCTTCTCCTGATTGGGGGAGGGGGGGTCTTTCTGCAGTGTTTTTTTCTAAAATAATCATTTTAAAAGCCTTTTTAAGCAGACTGAGGAGATATCAACACTGATCTTCTATACATAACAAAACTAAGAGAAGTGCTTTTTATTTCCCATACCTTCCTCCTGCGGGAGACACATCTCGAACAATGGCCTCTACGTCAATATTCGCAAAATGTTTTTAATTGATAATTTGTTTTATTTTACTTTTCAATGCCTTACAAAGCTTGTTCTTTTTTGTCATTATTTCTATTCCCTGAGACTATTCCAAGTGGAGTGTGTTACAAGCCGATGAGACTCAAAGATGAGAGACTGAATACCGGGATGAGAACCTAGAGGATATGCAGATGTAGAGATTTTAAACCCTTTTTGGGCAACTCATATTTTCTTTCTGTTGTGTACCAATGCAACAGCCACACAAACGGTGTTATCTTTTTTATCTCGTATAGAAATGATTTGTCTGGGACAGCTCCTGACGGGAAATGAGAAGGCAGAGATAAATACTATGTTACTGTGATTGTTTTGTTAAGAAAAAAGTGCATCTTTTACAGACAATTTATCTGTTAAGCTATCTGATATTATCTCCACAAAGTGTGCACGTACACATGCTGCTTAGAGCACCGGTGTGTTTGTGTGCATGTGAAAATGATTTCTCGTTCCTTGCGTGGTAGAAAGAGGCTGAGATAAAGGAAGAGACACATTGTCGGAACTTGCAAAAGCAAGAGCGGCGAGGGATTGAGTCTGCGTGTGTGAGAGTGTATTTTGAGAGTGTGTGTGTGCGTGTGTGTGTGTGTGTGTCCGTGCACCTGTTTTTTTTGTTTGTAGGTTGTATAATGTGGTTTTTTGGGGGGAGGGGGCTGAGTATTTTCTTATGTTGTTGATTTTGGTTCAGCACCAGTAGTGTTTCTGCTGCGTGTCTGGGTGTCTGTCTTTGCAAAATAGCACTTGTTATTTTCAAAGTTATATATGTCTAATTTTGCTTAAAGATTACAAAATAAATCTATTATTTTACGTGTAAGAGAAAAAAAATAGCTAAAGATTCAACTGAACTAACTGACATGATTCCATTGACTTTGTAAGAGTTCCTCTTAAAAAGCAGACAGTGGCCTGTTTGCACTGAATAAACCTACATCAGTGCACACTTGTATTTCTTTGAATATATATATAAATATGGGCATACATACATATATGTATTGAGCTTTTATGAAGATATCAATCTCACTTACAAAAGAATTAAAACACTGTTCAGATTGCACCAACAAATACATTCTAAGCACTGTTGTTGCTGCCAAGACGTCCGTGTCTTTGTAAGAGCTCTATATGTATATTTATGTATACCATATTTAATATTTATGTATACCAGATGCATAGATGCTGATTGTGCCATGTGCCAAATTAAAACTGTAAAAAATGAAGAATATAAAAGTTTCACAAAACTTTTTGCTCTCTTGATCAGAATTGTTTTCCTCCCTTTTATGACTTTTTATTATTTCCATTTTGAATAAGTTGGAAATGAAACATTCTTGTAGCAAGTGCAAGTCTCCCCCCAGGACTTCCTCTCTACCTCCCTCCTTCTTTCTCCCCCCTTCTTCCTCCCTCTCTCTTTTTCTCTCGCAGAAACCTTTGAGAAAAACAGGCTAACAGCTTGGGGTCTATCCGCGTGCATAACTCCAGATTTTACTGTAATTCATGCAAAGCAGTGCTGCTGCTGCAATGGGAGATTGTGAAAAGATTGCCTTGATGTGCTCACATTGCATCCTATTATATGTTATTCACAGGAAAACTGGAGTTATTGATTCTGCAAGTAAAACTGACAATTTTCATTAAGTGTCTTGTCATAGCGCAGATTGTCTCTTCTGCTAGAGTGAGTTGCCGTAAACCTGCCGTGACCTGACCAAATCTGTGTTACAATTCTTAGATACTTCATGCACATAGACCTCAACATTTTTATGAAGTTCCATTACAACTTCCCCTTGTATTTAATGATTGGAGACGCAGCAGAGCGAGAAGCACAGTCTGGTCAGCTCATCACTGATCCTGCCACGAGCAGAAAGAGAGGACGGGTTATTTGAGGGAAATTGCTTGGAGACTGATCCATATGAGTCATCCTGTTTTTGCTCATCCTGACTTATATGGGCCTGACCTCCTAATCAGCCACCATCTTCAACTGAGCAGCAACCACTTAGAGAGAAACAGGCAGTTGGTTTCTACCTGGAGCTGTCTCATTCGTACAGAAGCATTTATTAATGTCTCTGTGCGTATGTGAGGAGCAAGCTTTGCAAACAGTCCAACTGGTTTCAGTAGCAGTATTATCAGAGGGACCGTGTTTTCCCACAAAGAATGAACAAACGGCATTTTAATGAGAGAAAAACAAACATTTTATAAATGCCCCTGACTGAAAATGGATGCAAACCTTTCTCATTGGATTATGTCCTAAAGATTTGATTCACCTAAACCACTTTAAATGGCTTTTTGTCATTGTTATTGTGGCATCCAACCATGCAGACATTTTGATATGTCAAGGTTTTAAGAAATCTCTTTAAGCAGTCACTTCCATATAATAAAAGCTGATGGAATTTAATTTGCAGTGTTCACACGATTAAATATGATATTTTTAAAACTCAAAAAGTATTTAGTTATTGCAATCTATTTCTTCAGTACAAAGTAGTTTCAATAAAAACGTTTTAACAGTCGTGGACATTGTTTACGGAAAGATACAATTGGTGTTAAATTCCATAAAGCTGCTATTATTAATATTCATATGTTTCAAATGACAAACTCTTACAAAGCTATCTCCCCACCCTGCAGTTACCCTTAGTTCTACAGAGCACGGTCTCTTGGCAAACTGTTTTGGTTAATGGCCCACAACTTCAACCCTTTGGTTCCTTTCACTGCACTTGTCTTGTCTTTTTAAGACACAACAGCCGTTCAGCAAAAACAGCCAACTAATCTGCATGCTACCTGCCCAACACCACACAGCAGATAGACTAAATATAAGACAGTTGAGCATGTAGCAGCTAAGAGTCAGATCATTCCCTCATAAGGGTTTGTGGGGAGCAAAACAAGTGCACATTTGACATTTATCACGTAATCATAAACAAGACCCCAAATGAATGTTGCTCCTAAATGTGTGAACCATTAAAGGTTTGCCAAATTAACTTTAATGTTTACGCTATGTTAATGATATGATATATATTTAAATCAGTCTAATGCCTGTTTGCACCGCAAAGCCATGAGATGTTTCTGGCAAACAAATGTTGCCTTTTTCTGATATTGTTTGTTTGTTTTTTGCTATTTGGGTGACCCGCCCTTTAACACAGAATATAACTTAAAGTAGTCTGATCCATCTGCAGTGGTGGGAGGTCAGTTTCCATTTGGCTCCAACAAACACACATACAGTGGCACAGGGCTAAAATTGAGTTGAGAAGTTGAGAGCGAGGTATCAAAGGGAAGAAATGTCATGGGAGGGCAAGTTGTTTTTTGCCATGTAATTTTCACATATGCCGTTAAAGCAGAGCAGATGCCACTGAGTATTGGCAGGGGTGGACCTGGTGGCCTCGGGGACACCGTTTGTGATACATGATCCTGTGAAGAGCCACATAATTAGGTGCCGGACCAAAGGGGCAGACCGTGGAAAGTGCAGTGAGAGAAAACGGGGTCAAAATCCTTCACTTCAGCCATGAGAAACCCAAATGCTGGACTAAATTAGCCAAAACTTCCTTTGACAAGAAGTAGAAAAATTGCACAGTTATGAGCAAACTCTTTTCCACCAGTTGAGATTTGTTTGCAGTTCAGTGAATGTTTTTCGAAAGTGACATCATTCAAGGATCGGCTGGAATACCCCGATGGGGTTTGTGACTGCCTCGACAGCACGGGAGACAAACCCAGCCTAGGAAGTGGATGTGCCATCCCGAGAGAGGTGTGTGTGTTGTGTGTGTGTGTGTGTGTGTGTGTGTGTGTGTGTGTGTGTGTGTGTGTGTGTGTGTGTGTGTGTGTGTGTGTGTGTGTGTGTGTGTGTGTGTGTGTGTGTGTGTGTGTGTGTGTGTGTGTGTGTGTGTGTGTGTGTGTGTGTGTGTGTGTGTGTGTGTGTGTGTGTGTGTGTGTGTGTGTGTGTGTGTGTGTGTGTGTGTGTGTGTGTGTGTGTGTGTGTTTTTCTCTTCTTCACACAAATGCATTCTGAGCAGCTCTACCTCTGTCTCATCATTTGCCGTCATTTGCTCATGTTCTCTTTCTTCTCCTTCTTAAGTAACATAATCTGGTCCGCTCACTCATTTCCAATCATTTAACATCTAATTTTGTTGAGTTACTATGTTTCTCTGCTGACTAGGACACTAATTAACAATTGGGAGGCAGAGTAAAACTGAACCAGAACTCTTGCAGCTAAATAGCCTGATTTTCTCTAAAGGGAAATTATTCTGCTTTCCATCAAAACCCAGATAATCTCTTATTTCCATGTGAAAAACAAATGTCTTGTGTTGCCACAGAGTATAGACAAATCACTGGCATATTTTCAGGTTTTCCCAACAAGGACCATATTGCAGTGGAGCCTTTTTTCGGTGGCATCAAAGCCAGATGCTGTAACACATTTTTCACTAGAAACTAGGACTGATACACAAAAAAGAAATGGTGTTTGAGCCCAAATACATCATGAGAAATCTCTGTTATCTCAGTGTCATTGTACAGATTACTAAAGATGCCCTGTTACTTCTATGTTTATGTCCATAGAATGTATTTATAATCTCGCAAACTGGAGTAATCAAAATAAAATATCTATTCTTTCTGTATCTTATTGTGGTTCTCATGAATATAAAACATGACATCCATTTTCAGTTAGCGTGAGACCAAGAAGTTTAGTGCTGATAATATTGTTTTTGTATATTTTTCATCCTACAAAATGACTATCCAGAGAGCTTCTCTGTATGTGCTGCATTTGAGTGCCCTATTGTTCCCAAATACAAAATGATACACAGCTTTAAAGGATAAGGACAGCATATTTCATCGCTTATTTTACAATAAAAAAATCCCACCAACAGACCTAAACCAACAATGAATTTATCCTGCTAACAAGTACCGAATTCACAGCCAGATATAGCGTATGCCTCTGTGCCGTTGAACTCATTGCTGTCCAAAAACAATTAAAAAGACAGAGAAAAGAGCCAGACCGGTGCATTGGGTGACATATTCCTTAATTACAACGAACACAGACAGTGTAGCCCTTTCCTCACAGCTCGTCAAACTAGCAGAGCGAGGAGCCCCCGGCATGCTCTGCGACGTCTGCCCAACACAGAGCTACTGTCCAGAGAAAAATGTTGCTGCAGAATTGTGTAAAAATAAAGCAATAGTATCACCAAACAGTGTGGCTTTTTATGTATTTTTTATGGTTTTTAGGGGCAATGGAGTTCTGTGGCACAGAGGCATAAAATATAAACTGTGGCTGCACAGACAACACTTGTTAGCGGGATAAATTCATTGCTGTTTTTGGCTATTTTAATATGGATTTGTTGGTAAACACTTTTAAATGCAGCAGGGGTGCAAACTGTGGCAGCATTGCAAGAATGGAACAACTATAATGTATTAGTCCACACTAAAACATTTTTTTTTTTAAAGGGTCTGGTTTGTTGTTTATGGAGGTCCAGTAAAGAAGAGTAGCAGCCTATAGTTCATGTAGTACAAGCAGTCCCACCTGCCCCCAGCCTAAAGCTTCCTGTCGACTGCATAATGATCTGCCCTCTGTAAGATGGATGGCCTGGAGATACCACTGGGGCTGCTGAGACTAAAGCCTGCACGTTCCCAGTGTGTGAGGGAAGTATCAGCAGCACATTTTAGGCTACAAAGTGTATCTCTTTAGTTTCCTGTCTGGAAACCTGTGTAACCTGTGTAACCGGCTTCTACGTCCAATTCTGATGGTGGGTTTAAAGAGGACGTTTCATGGCAAGATTCATAGCTTCTAGGATGTTTGATTCCCTCTCTAACCGCTCCCATTTTTCATTGCATTATCTTGCAGATTTAGAACTATTTTGAAAGGGCTTTCCTCATCAGCTGAGGCCAGGCCCACTCCGCTATCTCCCAGTTGCATCAGCTGGAGTTCACCATCAGATGGCAGTCCACTAATGCCTTTCTCAGATGTGGGTTACTGGTGGCAGGCTGGGGTTGCGTCAGTGGACCTTTGGTGTATGATCTCGCTGGCCTGTGCTGCTCTAGCACAGACTACAGAGGACTCCCGGTAGACTTCCCCAAAGTAACTTATCACTTCTTAGATCACATTACAATGACTTTCAGTGGCACCAATTTGATCTTAAGTGCTAATCCAGGCTACCGGGCTTTTCACAGATCTTTCAGATCAAATACACTGTGAGTTTGACTTCAGTATCTGAGTTTATATTCTAAAAACATCAGTACCATTTCTTTCCTGTGAAACGACTGGAATCATCCTTCG